AGAAATTATCTATAAGCAGATGAGAATGACTATTAATAACATTGTTTATGTGTGGTGGTGGCTCAGAGACCAAGGACTCTGTGGCCTGTAGTTAATGCAGTGCAGTTATTCGATATCTTGGAGGGATAAAAAATAATGCACTTTGACAAAAGTCTTTTTGCTGCTGGGATTGGGTTAAGAATTGAAAGGTGAATCCACTGCAGCTCAGCCTTGGGCTGATTGACCAGTGTGGGAGACTGGGCTGGGAAATCTCCCTGTATCCTGTCTCACTCTATTCCCCATGCATTTGGAGTCATGGAGGGCTTTTTGCAGCACATTTGTTTGTCCAAAATACCAAATCATTTAACTTCATTATTTCTTCTATTCTCTCCATGAAAACATGACATTTAGAAGTACAGCATATTTGAAATTGTTCAAGAAACAACTTATTTATGGATTCCCCTCCTCCTCCTCTTCTTCCCTGGTTTATGAGCCTGTAAATTGTAACCACTGTATTAGGAAAAAAATGTTTTCCCTACAGTTTTTACTGAGTACTTCCTTCTGTTTGTCTTTCCAGGACTGTTATGCATAGTAGAGAAACTATTCATAGAAGTAAAAATAACCTCCATGCAAACCTAAATGGAAGCAGATATGGATTGAGAGACAAATTCAGCTCTACTCATTTTATATGCAAATAACCTAACCCATGCAATACAGGGGGAAAAAAAAGACATTGGCACTTTGTGACAGACAAATTATGACATTGCAGCTAGAAACCATAGCAACAATATACATTTAAAAAAAAAAAAAAGTAGAGAAGCATTTGATCTAGTATTGACTCATTTTTCTTACTAAAGATCAAAGCACCCAGGGCCTCCTTTGAAATATGTAATACTACATTGAGTCTAATTTCCAGGACCTGCTATTATAGAAGTTGAAAAGCTGGGGAAAAAAAAATGGAAAAGAAACTTTGCTGGGAGGTGTTTGTTCTCAAAATGAACAGCTTCAGAACACTTGAAGTAGATAATTTTAGCGATAATTTTGGTGCCGCTTGTCAGTTTGCCAAAACATTTTCTGTTACTAAATAAGTATTTCAAATTAATTCAAAATTACCATATCAAACAATTACCGTTCCTAGGCAGTGCACTATTTGCTGAATGAAGGTGAATATGCATGAGGATCTCTTTTTCATTGCTCAATTTCATTTTTTCTTAACGAGCACGGGCTGCTCCTAATTGATGTCAACAACTGTGACAAACGCCTCTCTTCGTGGTGTTCTCCCCACCTTGTTTTCCAGTAAACCAAAAGGCAGAAAACGTGCTTCAATTTCAGATCCATAAAGTGCTTTAAAATTGCACCAGCACTGCAGAGTGTAATTGTCATGCAGAAATAAATATATTCCATATTATTCGTTAATTTAATGCCCCTGCCTTGCTTTTGGAGGAGTCAAATTATAAATGGTAGGTTTCCCTTTCTAAGACATAGCAGTGAAGTCTAGAAGTAGCAGCTGCTCTCCCCCAAAATCCAGGGGAGGTTTTTTTAGTCAAAAAAGGGTTAATTTTGGTGCTTCAGAATTCCTGGAACTTTTCCGTGTCTGGTTCAGGCTGGGTTTTGCTGCCTTGTGTCTGATCTGTCCCCCACAGAGGTGAGCAAAAGCCTGGGAGGTTCCTGAGCAAAGCCTGTAATTCTGTGTGTCTGTTCCAGCACGCTTCTGCATTAGTGTTAGCAGAGGCAAAAGAGAAAATACTGAGTTTTCATCACCAGCATTGACAGAAATCTGTTGAATTTAACAAACCTTGGACACACAGAAGAGTGTCACATAATCCTGAAAATGCACCTGCCTGCCTTTAATTTGTGCTCCTGAGCTTCAGAACAATCCTGATATCAGTCCTGTGCTGAGGACTAATTTGCATTTGCTATCTTTATGTACATGCCTTTATTATTTTCCTATGCGTATTTTATAAATATTACATATATGAACAGAATGAAAACAGAGACTGTATGCCTTTAATTTAAAACCTGGGGCAATCCTGTCACAATGCAAGTGTGATGGATGTGTTGGGATCTCTGAGTTTAGATGCTGTTGGAGCTTTAGGATTGGCACTGCATGAAGAAACTGAGATTTTTTTAATTTTTTTTTTTTTAATATGTGGTGTTCACATTTTTTACTCTCATTTCTATTTGGTAGGATTTTTTGGTAAATCTGCTTTTTTGTGCTGAACAAGATTGAGTCTTTTTGGCAAAGTTCAATCTAAATCCTCTAAATCACCCTTCAGTTCTTGGCCTTTCCTCAGTCAAATTATCAGAGCTTGGATGCTAAGCTGTGACCTTTTTTTGGTGATGTAGGAGTATGAAGCAGCAGTTTTAGACCTAGGAAATAAAGAGAAATAAAGAACTACTGCCTCCCATCTTTCACACCTGGGTGTTTTCAAACACTTTGTGAAATACATCTTTTATAATGCTTAAATTATAAGTTGCATTACAGAAATTTGATTGCTAAGATCCAAACCATTTCAATATGCTGTAGATTCTTTTGTGTAACTGCATGTGATACAGGCAGATAGTGCTCTGAGAGTTTGAAAAATTACTTGTGGATGGCAATCCAGTGGCCTTTGGATATGTATGAATTTATAGTGACCCTTTGTTTAAATTCTGCCAAGTTTCATCTCATGTTTAGCATCTGAAACAGATTAATAAAAATGTTGTGAGGCTTGATCAACAGCAAAAGTTTAATTAACTTTGTCAATTCGGAGTACCAAAGTTTTCATTAAGAGGTTATGAAAGAATTAGTACTGTTAATTCACCCCTGAGTCAGGGATACCCCCTAGGAATGCCATTCCTGTACTTTCCTCTTTAAATGCATTCTAAATTAATTGGAAATCTGTTAAAACCATTCATGGTTCTTCGCTGTGTAATTATTAAAATTAATGTCATATGTGAAAATGCCAAGAATTATCACTTTTTGTGACAACAATGGTGCTGCTGGTAACAGAGGGTCAGCCAGGCGTTGTGTGTGATGCTTCCTGATGCCGTTTTCATGCAGCTGCCAGAATTTGACACATTCTATTTTTATCACGTTTCACTGTTGTATATGTGATTGTCACTTCTCCTTGAGCTGTGTTTTCAGGAGCTGGAACCATCATTCTGGCACTTTCTATCCCTGCATGGGGCAGGGCCAGGAGTTTATAGGGGCACGCAGAGAATTGTGACGTTTCATTGCCACCCATTGGTTTTCAAGGCACAGAAATTTTGGGTTTCTGCTTGCTCCAGCTACAAAGAGTGACCCCAACACCTCATGTTCAGAATTTCAAGATTCAGTGGGAAGTGTCCGTTCTGAGAAGGAGGTTTGTGGGACACTCTGGAGTCAGTGCCATCACCTGGGCTCTCCTGGCTGCTGCCTGTGCCGTGAGCTCAGCCAGGAGAGGCGATTTTTTCCCCCGAAATGTCACCGGGGATGGGTGACACGGCAAGAGGAGCCCACATCCTCCTTGTCACCTCACCTCAGCCTGCGTGCTCGTCCTCTGCTAACCACCAGTGCTGGGGGGAGAAAAGAACAGGAAAAGAAATGCAGACAGCAAAAGTTAGAGCTAGGCGATAGACTAGAGGTTAGGTGTCGAAGAACAGATATTTTCCACCCTGCCTGCTTAAGATGTGGCAGGGTTTTCACCTCGCTTCATAACTTCAGGCTTTCAGGCTGCTTCGTACCCTTTATGACCTAAAGGACTCGGTTCCTTAATGCAGTTTGATAAAATAGAAAGGATATTTTGCATAGAGGATGTGGTGGGGTGTAGAAGGTACGAGCACAGCTCCAAACAGGGCAAGATCCTGGATGTTTATGGCACCTCAAAAGCATCAAATTTAAATGAAAGATTTAATTTTTTTTAACTGAAAAATCTTATTGTTGTCTCTAGTATTTAGATTTTTTTCTTCCATAGCAAAGATTACTTCTTCCCTGTATGGTTTAAAGTATTCTTTCTTCAATACCATGGCACAGCTCCTCCCTTCATCTGAATATATGCAATAAATACTCAGGAGCAGTGAATTTGATCAGTGTGTGCATCTGTAGACACCTGAAGATTGCAGGTTCCAATCATATCTTGTTGATTCAAAAGATAACACCATGACTAAATCCTGATTACATGTTTACTTTTCAGCCTGAAACTGTTTCTCATGCCTGCTTTTCTTCTTATTTGTATTTTATTGAAATGAAATTAGTAAATGAATTTCATTGGTAGCAATTAATGAAATTATTTCTTTGTGGGTAGATGGGGGAGGACAGTACCACCAATATATTTGGAAAATCTAAGAAAATTAATTAATTGAGAATGCACAAAGGAAGATTTACTCAGCTGTGGTTTTCTTCCCAAATGCCTATGCAATTAATAAATTAGACTTTTCAATAAAGAATTAAATTAACACAAAGAAACTTGAAGACTTTATTGAAGACAGCTGTATTATGAAACATTAATTTGCTCTGAATGCCAAGAACATTTGCTATAGAGCAGCTGCTTATTTATTAAATATTATCATAGTGTGCTCTCGACCATATTTCTACATCTCCTGTTTTGAATTAGTATAAAACATGTTTAAAAGAGGATTTAAATTTTTTTACAAGCTACCAATAAGATGACAAATGAAGAAGTAAATGTATTCAAGTCTCCTGAAAGGGATTTATTTTGGAGGCCATACTTCTAAAGAGGAATCAACAGCAAACAAGAAAACCAAAACATTCTGCTTAAAAATCTCTTTGAAAAACGAAGCAAACACTGGGAAAAAATAACAATGGCAAACTTTATTAGGAAGGTAGCTCAAGTGCCTGGCATATTCCATCCTGCTCCTTGAATATTTCTCTACTGTTGTTAGAAAGCATCACGTGCACTTTGTACTTAAAAAAAAAAAAAAAAATTAAAAATGAAAGTAAAGGCCCAGGTGATTCTTGAAAGTGGCTTCTGCAATCCCTGTAATAATGAAGAATGATCTGTTCTGAGCTGCAGTGGGAGGCATTATCAGCTCCTGAAGGCTCACAGAAACGGGAGCCACCTCTTGTGGTTTCTGTCCTGGTGCTTCTGCACCAGCTCCTTGTACAGGTCTGACCTCAGGAACCTGGGGAAGGAGTCCTTGGCCATGAGGGAGTAGATGGAGCTCTGAGCAGCATCAAAGCAGCTCCGGGTGGGCTCTGAGATGTGCTGGGAGATGTCACTTTTGGTGTGGAAATCAATGTTAATCTGTGGGGAGAGAGCAACGTGAAAGCTGGGTCAGTTTGCTGCAAAGCTGAGGGCTCTTTGTTGTCCAGGACACAACGGGAATTTGAATTTCCTCCCAAATAACCCAACTGATGCAAATGAAAAGGAAAACTCAGCCCTTCCTTTTCTAGCAGGGCGAACTCTTCATTTTTTTTGGCTCTTAAAAAGATGGCATCCCTGAAAAAAAAAGAAGGGGAAAACTTGCTTTTCCTTCTCCTCTTTCTGCCAGACCAAATCCTGTGAAGTACTGATTATCAAAGAGTAAATTAAAAGTGAAGGTACTCAGCATCATTTTAGATTTTGACCCTAGGTATTTTTAATGGATTTTTGGTTTTTAACAATAAAAAGGTGGATTTCAATCATATGGGAGGACATGGGGACGTTTAAAGCACTCATTGCCAGCAAAGGCAAAAACATCAGTGTAAAAGTTTAAGGTGCAGAAAGTGAGTAATGATTAATGAGAAGTTTGTTCTTTCAAAGTAAGTCTTTTTAAATAACCATAAAGCTGAATTCTGTGATGGAAATTTTTGCTTTCTCATCATGTCAAAAATACCTATACAAAAGAACAAATGCAATCACAAACCTATTAATGCCCTGGAACCTTAAATATGGGACAAATGGTGCTTACTGCACTACAAAAAATGGTTAGAGAAAACAAATTATTTTGAGCAAAAACTTCCTTAAACCTTCAGGCAGAAAGTTCAGAAGGTGAGGTAAACTTATTCCCATATGAGGAATTTAAAGTGTAAGCTACAACATCTTTGCTTCCCAGAACTGCACAAGGTAAATACCATGGAAATGAGAGTTCCAGCCAGGCTAAATTGTATTTTCTGTCATTCCTTGAGGTCTGGATCCAAATTTCCACTTCATCCCCATCCTCAGAACCCAAAGCACACACAGAGAAAAAACTCTTTACCTCCTTTGGAGCATCAGCTTGTATAAAGTCAGAATAAATCTTCTGGGCTTTCAAGGCAATCTTGGTGGAGGATTTGGTTTTCTTGAAGTCCTCACAGGCCAGCCAGAACTCCACGTTCTCCTCACTGAACTCAGACTTTAAAAAAGTCCGAAAAGCTGCCAGGCCCTCTGGGGAAAATGCAACAGATAGTGGAGAATGGAAAGAGCAGTGCAATTAATGTGTGTGCATGCTCACACACGTGTGTGTATATTTATAGTTACAGCTATAGTTATATCTATAATTACATTATATTTATATTATACTTCTATTTATATTTATCTATTATTTATATTTACTTATACTTATTTATTTTTATATTATTTATATATTACTTATATTTACATTTATAGTTATAGCTATAATTGCATCCTATTATATTTTTATTTTTTTATTTATATTATAATTCTATTTACATTTATAGTTATAGCTATAACTACATTCTGTTTATACTTATCTTTATACTCATATTTATAGTTATAGTTATAGTTATATTTGTAGTTATAGATTATTTATATTATGTTTACAATTATAGCTATATCTATAACTACATTCTATTATAGTTGTTAGAGTTATAGTTAGACTTATATGCTATTTATATTGTATTTACATTTATAGTTATAGCTATATCTACAACTACATCATATTTATAGTTATAGTTCTATTTATAGTTATAGTTATAGTTCTATTTATAGTTATAGTTTCAGTATAGTGTGACCTATCTGCCACTCCTTGACATGTCAGCCAGCAGTCAGGTTTGCTGCAGGGGAAATGAATAGAGGTTAAATTTTAGTGCTGATAAAGGGACTACTAAGAACTTTCTGGTGAGTTGCCAGCAGGGATTGCTCCCAACAGCTGCCTGCTGTGGTTTGCTGTCTTTAGCACAGGTGCATTTGTTAAAAGAGTTGTTAAAATCAGAGATTTGAGGCTGAGCCCTGGTTGAGGAGCAAATACAAATGTGGGTGACACTGCACGTGTGCTCCCCCCAGGGCTGAGGTGCCCACATGGGGATTCCCAAATCCTTCCTTGCAAGGAAAGATTGAGGCTTCCATGAAAAATGGGACTCCTTGCTACTTCTTTGTTCCCCTTTTTAAACTTTTTTTTCACTTTGGAGGGGAAAACAATGAAACTAATAAAGGTCTGTTTGGAAGAAAGTGTTTTAAAGTGGATCCAAATCACAAGGTCTGAGTAAAGAAAGCTGACAGTACCCAAATTTGATTGTGTTAGTCAAGTTAATGCTATCCAGGAACAGTGTGGAGGCACCCCAGGGTCCAGGCCACAACATTACTGCTGGGAAATGGAGCAGGGGCAAGGAAATTTCTAAGCTGCATGTGGTTTGTGGTGTCAGGTCTGTAGAAATGACATTTCTAGGAGAAGTGACTTTAGTAATGTCATTTTTCGTTTGACTGGAAGCCACTGCACAGCATGCACACTTCTCAGGAATACCCAAGCAAACGTTTGTGGGGTTTTTTTGTGTAAAAAATTATGAAAAATGAAACCATTGCAAGGGGAGTTTAGCAGTCACCTTAATAAAAACGATTCCATAGCATTTCTGCCTGGCCCTGAGCACTGGCCAGAAGGAATATTGTGTTTGCAGCTTGGACAAACCTCTCAGCACAGCAGCTCTGCTGGGTTCAGGGCTCCTGGGGAGCAGTGTGAAAACGTGTTTGGTGACTGGGGTGACAAATGCTTTAAAATCACATCTATTTTTCCATCACTTCTTACCTTTGTTGGCCAGGACTGTATCCACAGACTCAGACCAGGCCATGCTTTCCCCAGCGTTTGACCTGTGGAAACAACACCTAGCCCTGAAAATAGCATTGTGGTCTTTGCCCCGTGCAGCCTGGGGTGGCTGAGAGCTTGGGAGAGGGGCCAGCCACTCATCCTGCCTGCCCTCCACATGGGAAAACTGGGATATTGGCACTGCTGACCTGCTTGTCCATCCTGGAAAACACTCTCCAATAAAGCACAGGAGAGGCAGGAATGTTCTAGAGGGTGCTCTGAATTTCTTCTCGAGTTCAAAAGGGTTAGGCATTAATTTATAGGGTACTTTTTGCTTGGAATGACTGGGATTATGTGAAGTGTTACCAAGCTAACACTAATAGGAAACATGGGCCTCAAACGAGCTGCTCAGTGGTAAAAATAATTGAGTAAATTCATAGTTTTGGCTCTTCCCATGCAACTTGCTGTAGGCTTCTGCTAGACGTGAGGGCAAACACTGTTATGTATAATATCTTGCCAGTTTTCTTCAAAAAATCCCAAAAAACAAACCAAACAAAAACAATTCAGCCCAAAAAAATCCCACTCTCCAGTTCTATAAAGAACATTTGACATTCCTAAGGGGGCTCTGAGAGCTCAGCTGTCAAAACCCTGCTCTCTGAATTATAGAGGCTGCTTTGAGAGCTGTGTTCACAAAATCCCACTTCTCAGCATCAGCAGTTATGGTGTTCTCTAATTGCAAATTCATAAAGAGATCATATAACAGTGTCAGGATATTACGTGGCTGTAGTTATAATTCTTTCAAGGGATGGTGGCAGTGACACCTTAAACAAGCAAGCTTTTCTGTAGCTCTCAAAAATGATATTTAGGCAAGAAAAAAAATGTGCATATTTATAAGTATATATAAACACATACATGAGGGAAGCTGGAGTGCAAATATAGTAAGCCTGTGAAAACACAAATGAAAACTAAACATAACATTATGTCGTACTTTGGGAGACATCATGTGATGATGGAATTAATCAGCAGGGAATTTGTTTTAGCAACAATAAGAAACTTTTATCGACTATATAACAGGTTTTCAGGATTTTTATTAAATGTTTATTAGCTTTCTTGTCAAGCAAAAAAGCAAAATGAAAGAGCAGGATAAGCCAGACAGTTTTGCTTCTTGTTCTTACGGGTAATATTAGTTCTTTTAATATTTACTCACCACTCAGAGAATGATCTCACTGACCATGTGGGATTTACTTGAATGGGAATGGCAAGCAGGATTGACAACAAGGAATCAAAATAGTCATATCCCCTTCAAAGGGGAAGGAAAATAAAGCTGGACAGATTATTCAAACTTGGTCATCCCGTCACGTAAATGTCCTACGATTAAAATAGCCATAAACAGCAACTCACTTCACTGGCATTTTTTGTTCCACTGTTTGTCTGTCTGACTGTCTCAGGGAAGGCAGAGTTTCCTTTTCTGACTGATCTTCAAGCTGAAGGTAATGTGACAGCAGGAACAATACAGTTAGCATGTGAAAAACCAAGCAGGACAACGCACACTGACAAACCCTTCTCAACATTTGCTTTAAATTGTTTTTTTTTTTTCACAAACACAGCCTGTTTTTAAACTGTGCCGTTCTCACCTAGCAGTGGCCATAAGGAAGAGGACTGGGGGCAGGGGCAGCAGTTCCTGCCCAGGGTCAGGGTGGTGGGGCAGGTCCAGGGAAGGGCAGGAGGGGCTGGAGCACAGCTCTGATGAGGAGTAGCTGAGGGGTGTTCAGCCTGGAGAAAAGCCCCAGAGGGGACCTTGCTGCTCCCTAGACCCGCCTGAGAAGGGACTGTAGCCAGCTGCTGGTCTGTATAATTTGTCTCTTGCTCTTGATAATTATTCTGTCATCCCCAGCTCTTTGCTTCCTCCGTGCAACCCTTGCTGTCCCTCTCTCACCTGAACCAGCAGACTCACTGATTGATTTCTTGCCTCCCTCCAAATCTTGTCCTGAGGCCAAAGCCTTTACTCAGGTTACTCGGATTCCTGGTTCTCAGTGTCTCCACTCGGCATAAACTCCCAGTGGTTCAGGATCTGAGATCCCAGCTGTCCCAACTCGCAGACTTAGGGATTTTTCTCAGTTAAAATATCTTACACCTAGTAGAGCAGTCTTAGGAGCTTAGATCCCGTTTCATTTTCCTCTATGGTAGAGCCATGAGCAAAGCTGCCTCCTGCCTGCTTGAAAACATCTTTCTTATTTTAGTTATGTCCATCTTCTAAGGTCAGAAAGAAAAACCCCAACACCACATGCCATCTTTCACCCTCAGCAATGTTAAGAGGTTATTCCTTACCTTTACCTTTTGTAGGTCTGTAAAAGAAGTTTCAGGCCAATCTATTTGATGAACTTCACATGGGACAAAAAGAACCTCAGTGAATCTGGTCAATTGTGCTGCAGGAAGATGAAATCAGATGGAAACAGAGAGGGGCATTACTGGGATGAGCAGGAGAATGGAACTGTCTTGCAGGAGAAGAATGAAAGACCAGTCAGTCTCCAAGATGAAAGCAGAGAGGATCTATGATTGCCCCCTGAATACAGAGAGGTAACCTGGTGAGAAAAAAAAATATTATTTTAGCATAATAGTTGTATTGACAAAAGAAAAAAAGTATGTAAGCAGCCAGTGAATTCAGACTGAAAAACCAGAATAAGGCTTCACAAACTGTTGTTTTTTATGGTCTCCCAGTTGAAATTTTTTGCCCTCTCTATTCCTCTGTACTTTGAAGATGGAGCTTCGTGTATTTATGAGATTATTTTAAATTGTTTTGTTCATTAATAGAACACTAGAAATGATGACCTGAGATGCCATTTTAGTCCCACATATCACTAAAAAAGATTCCTGGCAGCAATTTCTGTAACTCCTTAGCTTTGCATCTGCTTGCTTCTGAACTATAGCAGAATTATATTATTATTCTGAACTATAGCAGAACAGAAATGTTAATTATCATCCTGATTTTCTGCCGTGATTCTTCTTTTGCTTCATTGGTTATTTTCTCTTATTTCCAGAGTACATCTTGTACATCCCAGAGAGGACCAAAAGTGCATTGTGCTAGTGAGACTAACTTCAGCATCTTACAGCTAGGGAGAAAACTTTCAGCATCTGCACTGGCATCAAATCCTTTGTGCCTGATTCAGCCCCAGGTTTGAGCTTTGGTAAAAAAGGATATACATAATACAAAATCCAGCCAATAATTATCTGTGGAGCTTCTGGCTGGGCAGAGTGTAAACAGTTTGAATTGTTTAACAGTATCATGCCAGAAAAGTCAGTCCTGTTGTGAGAACAGAGGTGACACTAATTTAGGCAACTCATCATTCTTGGCTGGCCCAATTGATTTCTTAGTGTTTACCCTGTGGCTAATCCCAGTGGTTCTACTCTTTACCCACCTTAAAACTGTGATCATAAATTAATTCATTTTGCTTTTTTAAGAGGTATCATTGTTATATCATAATTCCATGATACGCATTAATTTCAAAACAAAATTCCAGATAGTGGCACACATGTGTTTTTAACATTTCTCCCTAATAGCCTGTTATCTGAATGAAGCACTCATGAACATCTCTTCATGAGATTTTTCAGGATTTTTCTCAAGATTTTTCAGGACTGATGGGTATTTTTCAAGTCAGTCTCAGCAGCCACAGAGCTATGCTAAAACCCAGGAATATTCTAGCACACACAATAACTGGATGGATGCAGTCAGATTGCTTTTGCATTCTTTGGGGTGCTGCTCACAACCCACAAAAGCACAAAGAAGCTGTGAGGGACTCTCATCACTGTACAACATTCTGTCAGCGACTGCTCAGTCTATGCAAGCTGAAAATACTTCAGGCACCCAGCAGGTTAATGGAGTTGTTGTGATGTTTGTACTGGGACAATGAAAATAATTCACTGAGCAAAGTTAGGCACAGCCACTTCTTCCCATAGAAACCATAGGCTGGTATTTCTCTCTACTTCCTCTGCTTGGAACTTAATAATGTCTGGAAAGAAACTCTGGTATTTCATTGAAATGTCATAAGGGGAAAAAGTGACCTTAGTATTAAAACAAGTGCATCAGCTGCTTGTGCAAGCTGTTGGCTGTTCAGAATAAACAGCATCATGCAAACAAAAGGAAATATGAATATGTAGTGGAGATGGGCTGGAGATTGCGCCTAGAATTAGTGCTAAGCTTTTTGTGATTCTGGCCCCAGCTGACACACCCAGTCACAGCTTCAGTTCTCTCATAGCTAGGGCCGGACCTGCAGGGTCCCTCAGCCCTTACCTGCTAATTACCCGATAATTAGCTAATTGCGGGGCATTTTTCTCTTTATCTGTCAAGCCTAAGGCTTAACTTTTCAGTCGCTCTGAGGACTGGACTGTGGATTTCTGAGTCCTCGGATGGCATGGGAGAGATGAAACCCCAGGAAAGGGACTTTGGATCTGACTCAATGTTCCAAACTTTGCCAGTATTGCCCCTGATTTACTAAGCATTTAAATCTCCAGAACTTTTAGGCTCACAGCTTGACTTTTACTGATGCTCACCTTTTACTCTCTAACTATCTTTAGACATTAGTTTTGCTGAGTTTTCTTCCTTTATGAGAAGCTATTGGCTGTAGAAGGTCATAAGGGTTGCCTGTCATTTTTTGTTCCTCTGACCTGGGTACTAATCACAACAGACAGTCCAAATGGTCTAGGTTTTTAAACCATTGGTTTATTAACCTAAGAAATCATTTCCATTTCCATTTGTTTCTAAAGGGCTGCCTTGTACTCACCTGAGCACAAAGTGAGAAAAGCTCACTCTCTCCAGTGGATGTGCTGGGGTTTCCCTGGATCAGGTCCAGATGTGTTAATGCTCCTCAGCACCTGGCCTCTGTTAATTCCATTCCATGCAGAGATGTGCTTGGGCAGTGCTGGCTTGCACAAGGTAACCTCAGCAGAACAAAAAGTTGATGTCCTGCTGCCCTGAGCGTGGAGCCCTCGGGGATTTGGGTGCATCCCTTATGTTGGGAGAAGCCAACACGATCCAGGCACTGCTGCCATCCTAAGAGCAGGGGAACACCTGCTCCACGGGGATGCAAATACACCTTAATCACAGCACTATGGAAATGCCACCTTCCCACAGCACGGCACAGCATGGGCAAATCACATAATAGTGGATTTTTTTCCATGTGAATAACTCTGTGTGCCTTCAGTATGCCACAGAGTTGTTTTGCATAAGAAAATGAGCTGTTATTTTCCACCCAAGCAAACTGTGCCCTTCAGGTGAAGTGCTTTGATTTCAAGAACAATCTGTCAAAATATTTTACAGCACTCTGGGCTCCTCGTATTCAGGATTTCCAAGTGTTGTACAGTCACAAACCTCCGTTGGAAAAGAACTGGAAACAATCCTCAAGAAAACGTGCAGCCAGGAAAAACTGGAATAGCATAGCTATAGCAATAGCTGCAGAAATTTAAAATGAGGCCATGAAGCTGTGAAGAAACAAGAGTGTCTTAATTATGTGCAAATTTTATGGTGAAGAAATGAGAGTTCAGAGTTGTCCTTTTTTTAGGTTTCAGCCATATCTTCTGTCCTGCTTGAAAACCCTCAAATGGATGCTGTAGGATTGTATTTCTCGCTAGTTAATTTTAATTTTACCTTTATTGGAGAAGGCAATGGTAGAGGCTAGATTGTAAATCGAGGAGTCCAGATAATTTTCTGTAAAGCATGAAGGAGAATTAGGAGGAGGTTACACAAACAGATTCTATTTAGCAAAGGAGAGAGAAAAGCTTCAGTATGAAACCAGAGAGAGCTTTTGTGAGACCAGCCCTAAGTGACTAGGGCACAACAAATGGAAGACAGCAGCACATTAACAGGCAAAAAAGTAAAAATGGAAGCAAGCTTGGGTAGTAGAGAGAGGAAATACATTTTTATCTCTGGCACAGAGCCACACAGGAGCTTAAAAGGCATTTGATTGAGGCATTTGACTAAAATGCAAAGAACAGAGTGGGATCTGGGATAGGCAGCTGAGCAAGGCGTAAGTTCATGGGCATATGAATCACTGATGAGAGGAAGATGATTTTCTGCAATTTTTTTCTCAGCTGAGGTCTTTGGCAGCATGTGTGGAAAGGAGAGGGAACTGCATTCAAAGCAGTAGCTAATTAAGGCAGGCTGAGCAGCTGGAGACAACAGGAAAATGAGGAAAATGATCTGCTGCTTGTGAGTCACTTGAAAGTTGTAGCATGTGAAAGCATGTAAGAGCTGTGTTATTGAGTGCCTGCTGCACTGGAAGATGGAAATCAGTCTTGTTCTCTGAGATTCTTTATCTTAGATTTCATTCTCACTTCTTGTCAGTTGAAAAATCAGTAAAGTTGTCTTTTGTTCCATAACAAATCCACAACCCAAAGAAGATATTTGGTCTCGTGTGTTTCCACCTCCCTCAAGTTAAACAAGAACAGCAGATCATAATTAAAGCACCTAATTAGACTGAAGTATTGAAACAGGAGGCAAACCTCAGTGCCACACAAGTCAGCAGATTGTTCCCCTCGTGCCTTGTGTCTTGAGGCTTCACCTATGTAAGGAGTGAAGTGCAGTGTTTGGGTAGGGTAAATTACTGTGTTGGCAGGAGGAATGTTTTGGGAGCTCTTGCTGAACCCTAAATGGCAAATATAAATATATAAATATCTGCTACATGAAACAATCTCCAATGAAAGCACTTGCCCAGCAGGTTTGGGATATGTGTTATTTACATGAGGGCAGCTCAGTGAGAGGATTTACAGAACTGTGGCACGGGTTCTGCCAAAACTAGAGAAGCCTTGCTGTGTTCTCTGGTGCTGCCCCAAGCTCTGTGCTGTAAATACATCTGTGCAGGGCCAGTCCTGAGGCTGATCAATCCTGGAACAGCATCCCAGACTTGTACTAAATCCATGCCTAGTTCATCTTCAGGACTGCAGCACAGCACTAAATAGTAGAGTGCTCATTTTCTCTCAATAAAAGGAGCCCCTTCTAGAAAAAACAAAACCCTTTGCCAGATAATTATGTCTTTTTGGTTTATCTTTGTGTCCTTTGCCTTCCTTTCTCTGAGTTTATCTTGACTTTCTTTCTTACAGTAGTTCCCATGGCATTAGTCTGCTGTAAATTTAGCTAGGGTTCGTAATTATCTTTGGAAAACACACATGTATAAATAGCTACCAGGAATATCTTATTTGTTTGTTTTCATTACAAAACTCATAAGAGGGACTAGCACTGTCAGTACCACAGACTGATGGGTTTGAGGAAGGCCTCCCTGGAGATAAGCAAAATTTTCCATGTGTGTGTGGAATGAAATAAAGGGCACCTGATGACTTCTATTTATCATTGCAGATCCTTCTGACTAACAGCTGGGCTTTTGCTAGCAAGAAAAAGTCTTACTCAGGGTACTATATTTGTCATTTGGTTGGATTTTGCAACAGTATTAAATATATGTATTTTTTTCATTTCTTTCCTTCGTGGCAATCCATCCAAGATATGGATTCTTTGCTGGTATGAAGGGAAACAATCACACCAGGGCAGAATTTAGCTGCAAGTGTGTAGGTCTCATGTCTGTGTGACAACAAACCTGGTGCCAGCACTCAGGTGGGGCTGTTCTCAAATCTGCTCCCTTCCTCCAGCAAGGATCCCAGTACCTGACACAGGAACAAGCACATTTTAAATACCTGAGAAATGGCATTCAGACACTGCTGGGGACACTGGAGAATCCTCAAGGTCTGGTCCCACCATTAACCTTCTCCACCCAGAGTCACCCCCAAGCAGCAGCCCCCAGCAGCACAGCTCTGGAATTCTGGCAGGGAATGACCCCACTGCCTCCCTGGGCTCATCCCAGTGCCTGGCCATTCCTTCAGAGAGAAAATCCCTGTGCCCAGGTCCTGACTGCTTTCCCTGGCAGAAAGAGACCATGCCTGGTGCTTTGAGAGCAGGGCAGGGTGGTGAATAAAGCAGCAGGGATCATCATTACAAACGTGTTTCCTCTCTGTGCCCCAGGTAAAGGTGAGAGCTTGGAGACGGCTCCTGGGTCACTGTGGAAATGCTCAGCAGCATTTCCAGGTGAGTTTGGATTTCTGTGCACTACAACAATTTCATTAATGTGGCAGTGACTGCAGCTAGAATTGAGCCCTATGTGAAGTGTCCACATCTTCTTCATCAACGTACTGATGATAAATCAAATCCTGACAACTCTTTCAGCAGATCAGATTTATTGGAATAAAGCAGACAGGGAACCCCACAGACCCAGCAGTTCATACACACCCCAAATTAACAATAAACACCAAGTCCCATCCTCAGGAACTGCACCTCTTCTCCTTCACCACTTACAAAAAGGGGAGGGAAAGGGAGAAAGTTGAAATTCCACAAGAAGCAACTCCATATACAAGTCATAGTTACAGATAAATCCTGCAGCCCCTTCCTAAACTGAACCAATGTTTAAAGTTTTAAGAACTGCCCCAAGCTTCAAGGCACATCTGCATCAACTGCAAAAGAAAAGGACAGAATGGCTGTGTGTGCTGACTATAAAAAAGTATGTCTGTGTTTGATAGTAAAGAAATAAAAAAGATTTCTCCTTCGTCTTCTATAACCTTTGGAGAGGATGTTAATGACCAGTGGAACTGAAAGTTCTCTGCCTGAGTCCAAGAGCTGTTAATTTTCAGATACATTTTCAAAATAAAAGGCAGGAAAAAATAAATAGAACAAAGTTTAGTAAGAAAGTTGGTATACCACAATAATTTATAAATAAAAGTAGATATATTTTATATATATATACACATAGACATGACCTGGTATTTAAGGATATACATTGTGTTAAAATAGCCTTGGCCTTTTGTTGCTGCTCAATTAGTTGCAAAACATTAGCATGCATGTATTTGATGCCAAAGCTAATAAATACAGCATAACTTAAAAATAAAGAAACAGATGTGTGGAATAAGAAAAATGTACCCCCCAAAAATTAAATAGGTATTTTTATGTTCCTCTTAAAATAGGCAATGGATGCATTTTAATGATAGATTTAATTATGCAGTGCCTTTAAATTCATGTAACTTTGCATTATACCTAATAATGTTCCCGTGTGTTTTACAGTATGAGAAAATACCACAAATTCTCTGTGCTTAGTATAGGAAATATTGCAAAAACATAAATATGTGCAAAGACTGGATACAGAGATTCTAACTGTGATGAAACTCTGGCCTAAATGGTACAGACACAGAATACGTGTTGGATAATATCAAATGGCACTTTATGAGACTTTTTAAAGCAGGAAATTCAAATTTTTCCCCAAAATGTGATCACAGCTTTTGCCTGAGTTTTAAAAAATATTCCTGTATGAAATCTCTGCATGCTGTGACTCACCAGTACGTTACCTACTCTTCTACAGAAGTGAGATTGTGCTCCAGACTCTGGCCTGGTGGAAGTGCATTTTATTTTGCTTTACTGCTTAGTTACAGCTGCTGAGGGTTTGGGGTTAGAAGCACACCCAGGTTGCTGCAGGAGCTGGGATGGAGGAGGGCTGAGCTCTGTTGGATAACATCAAATGGCATTTTAGGAGACATTTGAGCTCTGCTGTCACCACGGGGTGAGGTCCAGCAGCGTGCCCTGGAAATCATTGATGGTGAAGGAGCAGGAGGTGTATTGGATAATAACAAATGGCATTTAATGAGATATTTGAGCTCTGTTGTCACCACGGGGTGAGCTCTGGCCATGCACCCTGGAATTCATTGATGGTGAAGGAGTGGGAGCTCTGTTGGATGACATCAAATGGCACTTTGGGAGACATTTGGGCTCTGCTGTCACCATGGAGCGAGGTCCTGCAGCATGCCCTGGAAATCACTGGCAGTGAACGAGTGGGAACTCTACTGGATAACATCAAATGGCACTTGGTGAGACATTGGAGCTCTGCTGTCACCACAGGGCAGGGCTTGGCCGTGCACCCTTGAAATCGTTGGTGGTGAAGGAGCAGGAGCTCTGTTGGATAATATCAAATATTATATATGTATATATATATAAAATGAGATATTTTGGCTCTGCTGTCACCACAGGGCGGGGTTTGGGCACGCACCCTTGAAGTCGCTGACGGTGAAGGAGCAGGAGATCTAATGGATAATATCAGATATTATATTTGTATATATATATATATAAAATGAGATATTTTGGCTCTGCTGTCACCACAGGGCGGGGTTTGGGCGCGCACCCTTGAAGTCGCTGACGGTGAAGGAGCGGGAGCGCCGGCGGAGCGGGGCGCGGGCGGGGGCCCTGCCCTGCAGCATTCCCAGGTAGGGAGCAGACCTCAGGAAGCGAGGGTAGCTGTCCTGCTCCATCAGCCTGTACACCGTGCTCTGTGCCGCCTCGAAGGTGCTGCGACCCGGCTGCCCCATGCTCTGGCTTGTGACCTCCTTGGTGTGAAAGTCCAAATTCACCTGGAGGAGGAGGGAAAGCGAGTTTGTTTATTGTGCATTCATGGATTTCCTGTGTTATTATCCACAGCACTGATACTGACTGCTGAAAGACTTTTCTGATAAGAGTGATGCCTAAAGTTTTATCTTTCATCTTTTCCAGATTCTGCACTGCATTGGGGTGTGACTCTGAACGTCATACAAAGTGTTACAAGTTCTCCTCACAGCTCAGGCACACAAAACAATCCTTTGCCAGCCCCACAACCAAGGACACCGCTGCAGCTTCAGCCCCAAAAAGTGCAAACAACAGGGAACTGAGGAGAGAATCTGGGAGGATGGGACTGCAGAACCTGGAGCTGGGATTGGACAATGAACCCCAAGATGGAAATGGACCAAAACTTATAAAAGTGTGAGAACTTGGGACTCTGAGTCCATCTTGGGTGTAGCCACACCTGGGCTCTTGTAACTGCCCAAGGTGAATCCTTTGAAGGGTTTTTAATAAATCCCTGCTTTATTCCTTTAACTCTGCCCAGCCTCTGTTCCAGGGAGCCTCTCCAGGCATCAAGAGGACCTCGAATCCCCCATCCAACAGGATATTTACAGCACGGAATTCGTGCATTCACCTTCAGTGCTGGCTCTCAGAAAGTCTCCACAAATGTATCCTTTACCATGGAAAACTGGTGAAACAGAAGATAAACTCTGATGTTTGACTAGAAGTAATTTTCTAACAGTGATCCCTGTATAGTTGCAGCTTCCCAGCTTTGCAATACCAGACTATTACGGATCTCCCCTGCTCTCATGTAGGATTAAATTAGAACTTCTAATGAGATGACATTAGTGAATAGCTAAAAATTTCTGGTTTCTGTGTAGTCTGGGTAATAGGAAGGTGAGAAAATTCTAGTTTGTTTTTTTTTTTTTTTCAATTTAAATGGATCTCTGGAGGCTCTAGATTGGAAAAGCATATCAAAATGACTATTTACTCCATGTGCTGCTGCATTCACCCTGGGAAATACTTAATAGTATAAGAATTTTAATTAAGTGACAGGCACCAATTCAAGCACATTATTTTGAAAAATAAGATAGAATACATATAAAAAATTGTTGACCCAGTCAAAAAGTGACTTCTATAATGTTTTTCTTTTCCTTCCTGAGAGCTGCCTGTCATTTCCATACAACTAGTTGGGAAAAACAGCCTAGATATAAGAGCTGTAGGGTGATGAGAGAAGGTTCCACTCATGCGAAATGTTATGTTCCCACTGAACTGTAGGCTCAGAAATTTGTGTGTAAAAGAGTTCTGCTGGACAAGGAGTCAGAGGAGAGGTGCAAGCTCCGGAGCTGTGTGGTTTCAGCTGGATCCAAGGCAGAAGTCACACCAAAGCCAAGTGCCCAAGGTGAGCCACAGCCCCCCTGCTGCCTGCACCAAACTCAGGAGTGGCAGAGAAAGAAATTGTTCTGTTACCCTGTCCCTTCCTCAGCTTTCTCCTGCTCATCTCTTTTCTTCCATCAGTCCCCAGCACTGACAGTGTCAGCACTTGTTATCTGCCCAGGGCTGCTTCCCCCCAAAGGCACCCAGCAGGGACAGGAATGAAAGGGGACCTAAGCCCTTAAAAGTGGGAATTGCCTAGGAAAAGCAGATCTGAATCCTAATGCAAGCTATGGGAATTGCAGTGGAAACTGCACCACTTTGCAATCCTTCCACTTAAGATGAGAATTGCACCTTTTTCACCCTCACTACAAGGAAGCAGAAGTTGGTGTTTAACTTCTGCTATTCTGGCAAATTAAGAAGAATACAGCTGTTGGCAAGCGACATATTTGATCTGTTCAAATGTGATAGAATTACAGCAAAATGTAAGCACGAAATACCTATTCAAGAGGATGATTTCACAGACAAGTTGATATTCTCTCAACCTGTGCATCTCCTTCTTAGGGCAGGCAAAAAAATATTTATTTTGTTCATTTGTGAATTCTTTTTAATGCACTTCAGTAAAATGAAGAAGTTGGAAATACGAAAACTTTTTTATTCTTGGGATACTAAAAAAAGCTCTCAGTGTTGGTGAGGATTGTCATATCAACACCATTTTGTGCTGGCAGTAACACACCAAGGATATACAATTGGGGGTGGAGGGGTGGAAAAGGGAGAGGGAGTCAATCAGGACAGGGCCCTGCTCCTTCCAGAATTCTGACTTTTATGGAATTCTTCTAATGCCAGGGGACTGCAGGATTAGCTCTTGAAGCACTTCTTAAAAGCAGATTTCAGCAGATGCAGTTGTGTCAGTCAGACACTGTGTATAATGAGGAAGGTCTTTACCTCTTTTGGAGCATCTTTCTGTATGAATGTCTCAAAAATGGTCTTGGCTTTTGGCAGGAGTTCATGTGCACTTTTGCTTTTCTTGTAATCCTCGCAGGCTATCCAGAACTCGATGTTCTCCTCGCTGAACTCAGTTTTCAGAAACTTTGTGAAGGCATCCAGCCCAGCTACAAAAGGGAAAGTTGAATTCCATTAAAAAACATTTCCTTTTCAGACACTTACTCTTTCAAAGACTCTCTGCAAGGTAGTAAAGTATCTTTTGCTCCCTTGGAATATTATCACATTACAGGTTATTATCTTAAAATACATAAGTGTTTTAAAATAAGTGCAATTTCTCCATTGTGATCCTGCAAATCTCATTACAGAATTCTCAGCATCAGTAAAAAATGGTACCAAGGTCTCATAAATTTAGAAAAAACATTAAGGAAAACATGTGGGATCTGTGGAAGTGGTGGACTTCATTCCAGCTGAATATCAATTTAGGTTGATCAAAAGGCTATTTGACTCTTTGCTCATAAGTAAACTATTCTTCAGAAGCAATTTAAAATGGATGCCTTTCAGCATCTCCATCATTTGCTTTATGCTGCTGTTGTTGTGCTGAGGATATTTTCTTTCCCGAGCACACTTTATCTGTGGAAGCAGTGCACTTGTGGGGATGTGAACTGCTCGAGGAGCAGATCTGAAAAGCACACAGTGTCCAGCACTGTAGCTCACACATCCCAAATGAAGGCAGGAACATATTTGTGCATTTGATAATTGTGGGAGCAGCAGGGCCTCCCACATGATGGCCAGCTTGGATCCAGTCACTGCCTTAGAAACAAACTCTGTCAGGAGTAACAAAGTCTTTTCTTAACTACATGGCACATATGCAGCCAGGAATATCTGAGCAATATTCAGATTAAATGCTCCTGTTTACTGAAGGGGCTCTTTGCTGTCTGTTGTATTACTTTGTTCAATAAAACACCAAACTCAAATACTATTTTAAACTATTTTCACAAGTTGACAGCAAGCTATAGCCTAAGAAAAGGAGAGCAGGAGGCACACGCTGCTATAAATGATCCATCATGCCTAGTTTAGGTAACTGCCACATCTGTTTAAGGCCATAACTGGATTTTATCATTTTCCATCCTTTACCATTAGCTTTCCATCCTAACAGTCTGCATGGAGAGAGAAAAAACTACTGACCTTTCTCAGAAAGCAGCTTGTCAAAAGACTCTCCCCATTTCACTGCTTCTTCAGGAGACACACTGCTTGAGAAACAGAAAGGAGGTTGAAGGATTGTTCATGCTGTGCATTTAGGAAGCTGTGACACTCATCACCTGGGGCTCAGGACTGTTTCACAAAACCTTTGTGAAATGATCACCTCACTAAGGGAGATCATTCCCTTAGGGACTTCGGGAACATTTCCTTTAACTCTTTCCTGACATTTTTCCCTGCAGAGTTAAAGTTCTTTTCTCTTTTTATAAAAAAAGTCAGAGCAGAGGTTTTTTAGCTGTGGTATTTGTGTTGCCCTACTGATCTTTGAGGGAATTGAGATCATGTAGCACGGTAAAAGTCACAAAGGAAGCAGGTCTTGTCAGCTATTTAAACCTGAGATACTCATACAGAGATGTGGTTTTGAATGTGCTCACTCTGAGGCTGTTACCACAGTCTGCTTTTAATGAAATATGCAGAATTCTATAGCCCGGAGACAAAATTGTAGCGATATGGTTTAGGTGTCAGTCTTGCAGGGCAGTAGCACATGTAGTCTGGTTTGTCTACCACAGACATTTCCAAGGCCATGTTATTCTGTGCCTCATTTATAAAACTCCTCGTGTTCTTCATCAGGCATGTCAAGCTGCACGTGTTTCACTTTGATTTCAAATAATCTGCCCTAGGAAACAGCAAAGAAGAGGGGGGAAAAAAAGCCAAAAAAAAGCAATTTTTCTCAGTTACTCTGTGGATATGAATGCTTAGAACCATTTTCATTCCAGGGCAAACCACAGGACACTGAAAGTATCAATAAGTGACTGGTCCAGGATTAGCTGGTCAGATCAACTTCTCGTGGACGGAACATGTCTGGAATGTGATCCCACTTCCTCATCAAGGCTTGCTGTCCTGTTGCCTGATTTACATACCTTGGGGTCCCTTGGCAAAACCTATAGGCACATGAAGTTTAGATGAAAGGAAATTCCAATCTCTTTGGGATGGAATTTAAGCCAGCAATGACCATGGTTTTGCACAAAACTCAAAAGGAGGAATTTTTTTCTTTTTTTCCCCAATTTTGATAGGTGTCACATGTTTCGTAGCTGAAGTCATTGCTTGCAGGAATGAAAATTTTGACTAGGGAGAGGAAAAGAGTTTGTGAGGAGAGGTACAAATGCTGGAGAAATGGAATTCAGGAAAGCAGGAGGATTCTGGAGGCAGGGAAAATGAGACCTCACTCCCTTAGAGAGTTCATTAGTTATGAGAATGACAAAAATTCCTGTACCTACAGAAATTAATTTGGTCATAGTGAAAGATAAAGCTTTATGACTTCAGAGCACACAGTCCACAAAGGCATGGGATGCTGGAGAGGATCTTTGCTGGGTTTGGTAACTCCTGCTGTGAGTTTCTGGTTTTCCTTCAGAATCTGCAACAACCCAGGAGCCCCAGAGACCCCCACAGCTGAGTGCAGCAGTGAGCTTGTGCAATAAGAGACAGAAACCAAGGCTTGTTCAGCTTTGCCACTTTCTAAATATGAGAAGAGACTAATTTAAACATTTAAACTAAAAATTAACTTTTAAACTAACAGATTAATTAACTTTTCTACTGTTGCCCCAATTTCCATCTGCAGTGTTTCATTAAATTCTCTTTCTACTTCTTTTAGTAACTCTGTGTGAAAAATGGAAATCATGAAAGATAAGCAAATCACTTTAAAAATGTCAAACTATTATCTCTCTTTATTATATGAAAAAGAGTAAAATTTTGGGGTTTTTTCCAATTGTGACAAATGTAATTGTCACTTTAATCTAAATATAAAGACCAGCAAGAAAGAAAGGTGGAAAGATGGTACATTTTTATAGGCCATGGTGGTGTAGAATTCTACATATTCCTTCTTCTCATTCAGGACCTACAAATGCAATTCTTAGTATGTCAGTGAGATCTTGCTACCCCATTGAAGTGAGGAATTAAACTCTTATGGAAGCCAGTAAACCCAAGATTGTGCCCTGCATCTTTATGGCAAATACTGGGACAATACTAACAGAGTGTTTGAATTTTGGAGACAAGAGTGTTCAACCAATTCCTGCAGTTACTGAGGAGCTCTGCATTCAGTATTTAACACATCTGTTAAATGTGTGTTAAATGCTGAACGTGGCATTTGTACATCACACAAGTCTTTGGAAAAGCTGCTTTGCCAGGAGCTGTATGGTTTTCCTGCAAGCTGCATTTCTGAGTTGGTTATTGCTCTGTGCAGTCATTATTGCTCTGTGTAGTCATTATTGCTCTGTGCAGTCATTATTGCTCTACTCAGTCCCACCAAGGCTCCTGGCACAAGGTTTAAACCTCTCTGCAAGTGTTTGGGGACCAGTGGTGAGGAGACCCTGCTGATCACCTCGGTGCACACCAGGCACTTCTGCAGTGTTTGCCTGCTTGGGGTGCACTGAGAACTTCCCAAAGTGTGACTCTGCCCAGTCTGGATGCACACACAGCTCCAGGAAACATCCTGAGCCACACAGGTAAGGAACCCCCAGCCCACACTGCCTTTTACAGTGTTTACCTTGCTGCTTTTGGCAAGTTCCCAGGTTTGCCAAGGTGATCCTCCTCATGGAACTCAGGTTTCTGCAGGAGCAGGCTCAGCCTGTTTCTCTTCTGCTTGGTTCTATGACAGAATTTGAGAAACTTTTCAAGAAACATTGAAGAAAGTTGGTTTTTCTCTCTGAAGCACTCTCTGCTTCTGCATTATAGATGTCCCTATTTTCACTTACAGTAATGTTGGTGTCACTTCTCCTACATATATTATTCACATTAATGGCTTTTTCTGCATAGCTTAGCACAAATTTACATATGAAGCACTGGCAAAGAAAAATCGAAACCCTTTCATTTTCAGCATCCTTTTAATTTATTTCAAAAACGAAGGGGCCAAACTTCCCATTAGAGAACATAAACAGTTGGCTCAGCGTCTTCTACTTTTAATGTTTCTCAAAGAAAAAAGGAAGTATTGCTTCCTGTCATTCGAAATGTTTTGAAAAAAAGCTTTCCCGGATCATATTCATGCTTTAGAAAACCATTTCTCAGAACTTCTTGAAACCTCTCTTTCTTAGTAGTTTCAGATCATTAATTTGATTTGTTTCTTGACCTCAAAAAAAAAACAAAAAAAAAACCAAACCCCAAAACAAGAGTTTTTTGAGATAAGTCTTCTTAAAGAGTTTCTATTTTGCACATACAATTTCTAGCATTGCAGTTCAGGAGTTCTCTCCCACATGTCCACAATGAAATCAGCTGTGCCCTCAATTCAGAATTCTCCAGGCAGACAGAACGCTCAGAGGGTCGGTGTGACCCCAGCACTTACCCAGCCTTGCCTGCCTTCTGTGGCTCTTCCTTCATCACTGCCTTCTTGTAATAGCCTTTGTCCTTGGGAGCAGAAATGTTCAGTTGGGGGAATAAAAGAAGTGGGTTCTCCATCTTGCTTCCCTGAGCAAGGTTCCCTGGGCTCGCTGGCCCCGGCGTGTGCTGGCCCAGGCTCTCACATGCTGCAGCTGCCCTGGCCAGCCCAGCCTGTGCCCAGAGCAGGAGGTGGCTCTGTTAGTGGCCACTGCAGCTGTGCCAGGCTCTGGGGGCAGCTGTGGCTGTGCCCTCGTCACTTGGGGAAGTGACACTGCAGCTCCAAACCACAGCCCTGAGCACGGCTGCTCAGCCCAGCCTAGCTCAGCCCAGCTCAGCTCCTGCTGCCTGTGGTGACACCAGCCTGTGCTCCCAAACACCTGCACATGCCCTGAAATTCCCCTGGATGACAATAATGTCACACGGAACGACACACAGCCTCATCTTCAGCTCCCAGAGCCATCCCGGGCTCCCTCAGCTGCCTGTGCAGCCCCGGTGCCATGGGCAGGACACAGCTCCATCCACTGCCAGCCTCTCCTCCAGGCTTTGCCTGATCAACCATCCTGCAAGCAGATATTTCAGTTTTTACTCCATCCTTCAGAAATGACAACCACTCATTTCTAGTTCCCAGTTTGTCCACTAAATGCTCCCTCTTTCACTTCTCTGTCTGTGGATTCATTTTTATTGCAATCTCTCACCCAGGATAGAAAGTCTTTATAACAGATGGAAAGTCTGAACTAAAGATAGAAAGGCTTTAGTTCAGAAAAAAAAAAATCTGTGTTTTTTAAAAGTTTTATTTTGTTACTAAATAACCCCAAACTTCTCATTTCAGTTTGCATAAGGTAAAAAATGCATTAATCTTTGAGGCTGATCAGCACAAATTATCTTCACATACCAGTCTGATGCCAGTTGTTTCTTGGGTTTAAGTTCAGTTTCTCTTGGAGGTGTCATAGGAACAATGCATCTAATAAAGAGACATCTTCAGTGCTAGCTGAATGAGGTACTGGAAAGGGTTAAAATTAATGCAGTAGTTAATTGGTTAAGAATTAAATAGTTCTCATGTTTTTAATGGCAGTGTCTCATTTTGATTTCTCAGGTAGGACACTGAGCTTTGAGGAGAAGACATGACCTCAGTACCTGCCATGATTGTGTTGTGGTTTATTTACATAGGTAGTTCTGGTGAGAACTTTTCCTTGTGGAGCTGGGGAGCACGGGAATGGGAGATACTAATATTCAAGGAAATTTAAAAAAAAAAACCAACTCTGCTAGGAATCCAAATTTGGGAAACATTAAAAGAAGAAAAAGATGTTATCTATCATTATTAATTTTTTTAGGAGTGAAAAACTGAAAAATTCTCATGTGTTACATGTGTGATAAAATTTTAAAATCAGACTGAATGGGAAACTGCACAAGTGCCTTTTGTAACCCAAGGGACTTCAGAAGCAGGCTTACAGTTTAAACCTCATTTTCAATTTCAGAGAAGGCTTATGCATCATATCATGCATGTTTTAAACTGGCTTGAACTGCAGCTGTGTTTAATAATTTATTCTGCCTTTTACATATAAGTAAATAAATATAGACTCAATGATTTTATTTCACTTTTCTGCAATAGTGGTGGTCACATGAGCTTTTTTTAGCTGTTATGTGTATAAAATACATAATTATGTTACCTGCTAATTTCGGCTCCCAGAAAACATTTTTAATTGTAGCCTCCACAGTCCGTCTAAGTGGATTTAAGAAGGATTTGGAGCATGGAGTATAATTCAGAAGTGAAAGATGAGTGGCCACTCAGGCAGCTCTGGATGGGGATGAGCAGCTGTGTCCCCTCTCCCAGCCCCACCAGCCATGCTCGGAAGGTCCAGCTCACTTTTCAATCACCCCACATGGGTTTTATGCCTTAGATATTTGAATTATTCCTGTTCCACACTGCAGCAATCGTGCCAGTCCTGCTCTGCACCTCCTGAGAATTCACTTGGAAATCTGGAGGAGTGTGGAGAGGGAGGGAATAATCACAAACAATCTTTCCCCGAGGCACACACACTTTTTTTTTTTTTTTTCTTCTCCATTAATAGAAAGCCAATATTAAATCTAGGCCACAAAGTAGCCAAATTGCCTCCAAGTCAGTCTGTGTTTTGTCAGCACTGCTGCTGGTGCTAATGAGCATCTCTGTTTTGCACGGAAGGCTACAGTAGTTATAGCAACAGGATTTATTAATGACCCTGGAAATGCTTCTGGGCCATTTTGGGTGCTGCAAGATGACGATAGAGGAAAATGAATAAGTTATTTTAAAACCAGAAAAAGCAGACCCAGAATATTATGTTGATGACATGACCAGAGATCTAGAAAGCTCTAAAAAACTTTGTGATGAGAACCAAATGTCCTGATTCCCAACTGTTTCGCTGAGACGTATTCACAGATCTGTGGGGAAGGATGCTGCTAATTTTTAGTCCCTGAAATCAAGATTCTCTCTGAAATGTGAGAACAATATTGAGTTGATGTTCTGTTACTTGTAGAAATATATTTTTCAATGGTTAGATGAATACTAAATGTATTTTCATGTAGCACAAAAGTAGAATCGGATAGAGCATAGACTTCACTGAAGAGCATGGGCTGAAAACATGGATTTCCATATTTCTTTTTCATGCAAACACCTTTGAAGACTTGAAAATTAAAATTACGTGTTTCGAATGAATTCGGTTTTAATTAATAATTCTGCTCTTCTGACCAATTTATCACTCCTCAATATTTATGTTGTTTATCCCTCATTGAAAATATAAAACAATTGGAAATATTGAAATTTAAATATGTTTCCTCATTGGAAATGACAATTGGACCTAAAATTTAATAATAATATAATCCAAGTTATGACTGGGTTTATTTAATCTCTTCCCCACGGAGCAAATCCAGAAGGAAAAGAGTTTACTTGGAAATGTCTCGTATAGGAGCCTGCTGTCTGCTAATCCAGGGAATTGGTTTGGTGGTGCCCTTCAAGGATGCATCAGCTCATTGCACACAGCTCTCCTTGGAAAACCCTCCTTTGTTGCTGCTGTTTAAAAGGAAGGAAACGAAACTGCGTTGTTTCAGATAATGCAACGCAATAATGATGATAGTCAGATAATGACAGCAGGAACACGACGCTTCGTTTTGGGGTCTGCCAGCCAGGCAGTGCTAAAGGAATTCCGAAACTCCAGGCTTGGGAATCCCGGTGGCTTCATCGGAATTTGTGCTGGGGGAAGCACAAATTTACACCCGTGCGGAGCTGAGCGAATTGATGGGGTCCCGGGAGAGGTCGGGACACCAAAATTGTCCTGAAAGCCTCGCCTTCCTCGCTCACAGCGCTCCTTTAAAATGCGGGTTTTTCAGCCTGCTATTCACAGGAAACGCTGGAGGCGGGAATGTTCTCCAAGCCCTGCCCAAAATATCCTTCCCACTGGGGTTCTGCGCTGCTGGATTTATTTCTGTCTTACAGGAACCCAGAAGGACTCCTCACATGACCACCTTGTCTTGGGGGTTTTTTTTTTGTGTTTTTTTGGTTTTTTGGTTTTTTTAAGAGAGAGATTTTATCAACCCATGGCAATGGAGCAAACAGCAGAAAATATTGGGCTGAGAGTTTTCTGGTCCTCTTGGTCCTCCTAATCCACCGCCTGTTAACCATAAAATCAAATTCCCTGCAGCACACAGGGGAATAAAATCTGTGTTGCACCAGGGCTGAGACTGCTGTCACTGATCCACTGAGTGGTTTAAGCAGAGCCAATGTGCTTAATGCCAGGCATGTCCTTACTCTGCTTTTCCAGGCAGAAAAAAATAGAAAATATTTTTATTCTATATTTTATCTATATATATTGTATTTATAGAATAGAAAAAAATGTAGGAATATCTTGGGATGCTGAGCTACCAGGGCAGGCATTGCCAAACCTCCACAGTGCTTCTGTAATTTTTTTTCCCAAAAAATATTATGGTAAATATAATATTATAATACATTTTAATATAGTAAAATGGATATACTTTTACTATATTTTATTGTTACTTCTTTCTGATAACACTTTGTTCTCTCGTCCTGATTTAGCTGAGGCAAATAGTCCTAGGGCTTACAAAGAGGTACAGTGCATTTCCCGTCAGAGCAGTAAAAAATTGGTGCCCAAAAAATTTGAAAATATATAGCTACATTTTCATGTGAATATGTAAATATATTATCTCCAAAGTCTGTCAAAAGAAGACAGCATCTGAAGATATAAAAGCTACATGTCACTCTGATTTTTCTCTTCAGTAATTACCCAAAGATGTTCATCACGAAAATTAGGTAAAAATAATAATGTTACATCACATTTCAGTGCACTCTTCAGAATGACTGAGAAATTTCCCAGGAAGATTCAACTGATGTTTGAGGATTGAAAAAAGCTGTATTCTACAGTGCAAGCTGAGACAGTTTTATTTCCTAGATTAAGAAAGTTTTGCAGTAGTAGTTTTCTTTTCCTTCTCAAAAAATGTAGATATTTAATGAGGAGTTTGGCTTCGAGGCAGGGACACTCCTCGTTCAGTCTTTACCAATCTGTCATAGTCTCTCTTCCTCTTTGCTAATACCAGAATTTCCAACAAAAGCCTTCTGTCACCAGGCATCACTCAGGGTACTCATCTTTCCCAAATCTGCCACCCAATTTCTTCAGATTTGCAGGAACCCTCAAGAAAACTTGCTGGTTACCCAACCCAGGGAGAGGCTGTGAGTCCTGGAGAGCCTTCAGGGAAGCTTCAGGCACAGCAGAGATTTTGCTCCAGTGGAGTCCTTGTGGGAGTGTTTAATTCCAGTCATGCAAGAAATCTTCTGTGATTCATTCGTGGTGTTGTGTTGGAGACTCTGTGATCTTTATCTGTTTTGGGACCCAGCAGATGTGAGCAGCAGCAGCAGGAACCACTGAACCCATCCTTCATTCTGCACTCCAGGCAGCAGGATGGATTTTATGGATTCCTCACTGTCACCCGTGCTGGCATGACCGTGACAGAAGACCTTGATATTTGGGCACTATCCATTCCTGGAATTTTTTCAGGCTTGGAGCCTGAGTCACAGCGAGCTTCATGATTATTTGATGGTGGGTTTGATGATACATTTCTTAGCTTTTGCACGAGCTGTCCTTGGTGACCTCTGCTTTTCACACCAG